CATCATTTTATTCTGTAGCTCTAAAGTCATGGAAAGAGATCGTTGATCTATACATGAAGGATAATCTTTATATTGCCGAACTTGCTGAATTAATATACTACCTCTCCGCTGTGCAGGTGCCGAAATGCAAGACCTTTATCTCCGAGAGAAATAAGTTGACTACAGTATCTTAATAATTAATTAATATTTAAGGAACTTCAAACTAAATATAAGCAACTTCGATCCAGTGTCCAGTACAAAGAAACTCAGCTTGAAAAAGCTTGCAAAGAGTTTAACATCAAAGTAACCATAATCATTTACTAATCCTCAAGGATAAGCATATCCGTCTTCAGATTCTTGAAGAGGCATGCAATATCTCTGAATTCATGAAAACCTATATAGATAGGCTTCAACAATTAACTCCTGTCCTCAAAATTTACACTACGTTCAAAAACTTTATTTTTAACAAGTATCTCTTATTCGTTTATTCTTTCTAAGGTCAGAGATTCTCACTCAGATCAAGACACCTCTTGTTTATCGTTGCAGTTTCTGTTAGACCCTCAAAATGTATCAGATTACATATGGAAGCTGATGAACCTTAAACCAGACGGAACTCATAAAGGCATACTCGATATAGATTTCTTACTGTCAGAAGAACGTAAAGTTCATGCTAAGCAAAGCCTTTCCGAATGTATACTTGAGGTAAACTTTCAGTAACCATAGTACTTAATTTCTTTGGTTCGCTTTTATACGCTATCTGCTTTAGAAAACGGATACAATAGATTTCGGGGACGACATTCCTGACAAGGATTATTTGGACCTGCAACCCTCAATTGAACTAGAATTGGTTGATCCAACTAGTTCTTGCGGGTTGCAATTAGAACCATCTGTTGTGCCGGAACCTAATTATTGTAAATCGGAACTTCAGGAAAGGCTAAGCAACCGAAACGCCTCACGCGATGAAGCAATTTCTTTTCTGTTATCTTTAAATGGAAGAAGAGCTGTTCTAAGAGACTTGGTTGAATTGGATGCATTTTTGGGCCGTTTTTTAGAAAATTTTGGGACTGAGCAAGATTCTAATGCAGGTATGCATGTCTTTCTCGGCGCAAACGCTGGTACTGCTGGGGGGACTTTGCAGCAATTCATTATGCAAGTCAGTAAAATGAGTTGCAGTCACTTTAACCTATCTCCATTAGGATTTATTAGAATAATTTGTTTGTCATTTCTAATTTTCATAGTTCTCATTTCTTTGATTTTTCACCTTTTATTGGACACTAATAAAGGTGAATAACAAGTAATTTATTACATTAAACGTTGGATTGACTTGCTACCGGCCATTGATTAAGAAAATAGTCAGTGAATTTTTCTTGGCACAATCTATAATGTAATTGTAAACCGCCTCGGCTTTCATAACCCGTTTAAATTTGCATCTAACGCCATTTTTTCCACACGCGCCGACGGGAATTAATAGTTAAATTAACCATTTACGATCATGCACCTATTAACCTAACTTGTCTATCTAAGTCCACATTACAGGCGTGGGTTCTGATTGCTCTGATTTCTCTGTTTGCCTTTAACTCAATGCAACTGGTCATGCTTCCTATGCGGCAAAGTATTAGTCAAGTAATCCATATGCCCTTGCTTAAATGCTATCCACAGCTGTTGATGATATCTAAACGAAGTCAAAATTGCAGCCGACCTTCCTCGAGATCTCACTTTTTGCATCTTTAAGTATTCTTTTTAGTCTTATTTACCTGTTACTGGTTTTTGCATTCCATCTAGTTGCAGCCTAATGTATGCTAACATCACTTGGGTACTCTCCTTTTTAGTAAACCTTACTGCCACTCTGGGCTTTGTTTCTATTCTTGATAGAAGACTTTGGCCTATAATGCTGTAGTCGTTATTAGGCTAGTTCAACGAATTATTCTATTTATAAACAGTCATGCGACTATCCAATGCTTTGTTGCCAAAAGGCAGAAGCATTAGAAATAAAGCTTGATGCTATGTAATGGGGCTGGAGCCAAAACTCTGCAAGCATTGATAACATATTAATAGAAAAATAGCAAAGGACCGAAAGCAGCGGATCTAAAGACGTAGCTTGATTGATATTTCATACTGATACTCCTTAATTAGAAATTAATATTTTGTTTCTTCACAGTGAAATGATCTATTTGATGTGATGAAGGAGTGTTGCGTCTGAATACTTTCCTAAGTTAAATTAGTTTACCAAATGAAGTGGTCAAAATTCAATATAGCAACATATGACGCATTAAAAATATGATCCATTCAGGCACAGGGTGGAAAGAATATATTACGCTGGCTAGAGGAAAATCCAGCCTCTTTTCTGCGTATGGATAA